GCCCAAGTACAAAATAAAGATTGACCCTAAATACAGCTAAGGACCCCTGACCTTTCTTCTATTCCTTTCCTTTATAGATTCTTATACTAAAGGACAAATCTCTACCAATACTAAACAGTTGAAAACAGTCTTTATATCTATTCGAGGTCTTTCAGGGGGGGAGGGGGGGGGGGCCCCCCCCCTTACAAATCAGAGGTGGACATTAGATAGATAGATAGATAGATAGATTTATTGCTTGATAGGTGAAGGAAGAGCGAGTGCTTTGTTGACTTTTCGAGCTGCAGTAGCAGAGACAGAATCACTCGCAGGGATTCCTCGCACCTTGGGTCCGCCAGCCGCAAGGTCCGCCACCAGGTACAGTGAACCTGCTTTCACGGCTGGATCTACGTGACGTATGAAACTTACTGTACAATAGCCCGTATTGATGGATAATACGTGATGATACAGATGGGGAAATGAGATGAAATGAGCACACTTTTGAGGGATTTGCCTAGCAGAGATCCATGATTGCCCCATCAGTACCGTTTTGTTTGCTGACTAGCGCCGTGGAATGAAACCATGTCACTCATTGGGGCAAGCAATATATGTATATATAATATATATATATACATGCCAAATGACCAAACCACTAGGAATGATCTCCAGGGTACATACCCGACTCGAGCTTGCGGACTATCCGCGAACTACTGGCAGTCCAAACACCCACCTATGCATATCTTGTTCTCCACTGAAAGCAACAAGGTAACGGACTGCTGTAAAGGGTACTGTACTGTATGTTCACCTGAAACATGTGGATCTTTGTTCAAGGCACTGAGCGGCGCGCACCTGCCACCATGCCGTTTCCCACAGCAAACGGCAGGAGGATGGGGGCATAGTAGAAGGCTTGCGGGACAAGCGTCATGATCGAGTAGGACACCATTGAGGTTCCACCAAGCCTTTGCCACATCGAGCTTGTGGAATGTGGAGTAAGAAGAATTACAGCAGAACTTACCTGCCTCCCTCCGCAGGAGAAAAACACACTTATGGACTATGTCTGCGTCATGCTTGTTTGGGCCAGCCACCATGCCATTCTCACATCTGCTGGAACATGACCTGGGCAGCTTGCCGCTGATACATGAAAGACCAACCAATGCCACACCGCAAGTTGAACATTCCATTCCTACATCCACAACAAAAAAACAAGTTGAAACTGAGTCATTTGCACCAGCGTCATTCAAAGAAAACCGAAAGCAAAACCTCTACGCAAGCTGCAGCGTGAGCGTATGCGCTTTCAAGTCTTTCCTGCACGTGTGCTTTCTTCTGGCGATCTTGGTTCCACTGCCTCAATTGATCATTGATGCGGGCAAAGTGGCGAAAGACCAAGTAGTTCAGGCCAATCACAGGAAACAAAGGAGTCATCATAGCTGTGCTCGCACCAACTAAGCTTGCTCGTACCAGCAAAGGCGGCTCCTCTGCCAGTTGTGACTGCAGGAAAAATAGTCGTCTGCTGGCTCACAAGGGCAGTCATGGTGTATGGCGAGCAATTTGCATTTCTCCGCCGCCCAGTTTGTCAATATTGCGGGGTCAAACATATCTCGAGATTTGTTTTGGCACAGTGAATTCTTTCGACATGAAGCGATTTTACCAAACCGGCTTTCTTTTCACCATTGAGCCTTTGAGCCTTTTCATTAATGGCCGAAGTGGAAGATAGTGGAACGGTTTTCTGTCGAAACAGGGCAAATGTGGTGTTTTGCCATGACCGTGTCCTGAGGCCATGCGGTAGAAGACTGGCCCTGGAAGGATTGGAGGACAAAGGGAGGGGTTGTGCGATTCAACCAAGGCCATAAGAACAATACACAAACAACTGAACAATGAGCTACAATAAGACACATACAGACTATACAGACTATACATGTTGATAAATGTCAATAGTTTGAACACATATGCATCCAGCCTGAGACGAAGAAGTTGTCAAGCGCACACACGGTGCAAGGCCTGAAGACATTCAAACTCCACGAGGAATGCTTGCAGAAGTTCAGACATTTTGGGGTCACAAGCGTGCTATTTCATAACAAGTGCATAGCTACGGGGGTCCACCTGCATATCCCTCTGAGTGAGTGCTTGCAATCTCCACAAAGTAGTTATAGAGGAATATTATAGGCGTGATGGTGCAACTTCACAGGGCAGGTTGAGTTGCTGAAGGTCTGAAAATCCTTGAACGTGTTGTTTGTTGCTAGGATCCTTTATGTAGGGTTGTTTGCGCTATGTAAATGTGTCCTTGAGTTTTACAAAAATTACCATTTGCAAGATCTCAAACTCCGCCTCTACAATTCGTGCGGCATCCCAACCGCTGCACTCTGGCAAGGAGAAGCGACATTGTCAGGCTGTCACATAATTTGCTTCTCCAGTGTTAAATATGGAAACAACACCTGCATACAGGAAGAGCTCTCTTTCCTGCCGCTCTTGGCTTTTTCAGAAAGCCTTATATAGTATCTTTGCCGTCAGAACGTTTCGTGCAAAATCAAAGTTTGAGGACATGTTGTGCCTGACATGCTTTGCTCCAGGACCTATGGGAGATACTTACTGTAGAACTTGAACTGACTTTGAGCGGCTGGAATGAGGCAAGCAGAGTGCACAGTCGTTAGAAAGTGTTGCCAGGATCACTCAGTACAAGCTTGTGAAGGCCTCTTAAAGAAGGACAAAACGTGTGCACAAAAACTGACTTTTTAATGAGCCTGCATCATGGCCGCCAAGCCATCCCCCAGGCAAGGCACGCTTAGGCAAGCCTACTCACCATACTACTAAAGTGTGTGCCAGGCCACGTGCTGGCTTGTCTCACTAGAATTAAGATGCCAGCCAGTAAATCAAACACTGTGATACAACCTTGCAACCTTGCGCATCTTGTGTTAAAGTTCCTGGATGGACCATTTAGCCTTAAAAGTCTACCATACCAGGCATACCAGAAATAGCATGGAACAAACGCCTATGGAATGTGCCGAGTCACTTTGATTCATTCTGCTGGATTGTCTAGCGACCCTCAACTCCGCGGCATGGCTCTTCTCTCAGGATGCATGTGTCTGAAGGACTTTGTCCCGAATTCATGTGGCATCAACTTTTGCTGGAATCCAAAGCACCCAGGGCGGCAGCACGCATCTCTTGCCACCTGTCCATCTCCATCTTGAAGTTGTGGCAGAATCGGCACCACGTTCAGATGCACCATGTTTCTTTAGGTCTTTAGGTCTCTGTAAACACATCACGTCCGCTTGTGATGCATGGTCTAAATGGTCTACAATTCAGCAATGCCAGAAAACTCGCTGCTCTTTGTGCCAGGTCACGGGCCACAACCAAGCGCTTTTGACGAGCGATGGCAGCGTACAGGGCCCAGGTGCACCAGCCAAGCGGCCTTCGTCCACTAAGAGCAGTGAGAGGCCAATGAAGTTAAGGCAAAACAGTTTGGTTGAATGAGGATGTCAGTATGTCAAGCATGAAAATTTGGAGCAGCTTTGGTCACAGGCTAATACATTCCCCAGCCAAAGGCTTCAGGGCTTCCACTCTGGAGTAAGAGGCACGTGTTGAGAGGAAGCATCACTGACACAAGCCGCACAAGTGCCACAAGCATCCTTGGCAAAGTACAGAGAGTTGCCATGCTCAACCCCACCAAACCATAGCTGCCACAGGACTTTGGACAGGGTGTCATTTCTTGGCTTGCACATGGCCTCAAAATGCGCATTGGCTTCACTCCCCACTCGCCTTGCTTTGGCTCAAGGAATCCCTGTCACGGCTGGTGTGAAGAGATTTGCGGCCCAAGATCATGGTGGTGTGACCAACTGGTAGGGCACCTCATGCATCCTCATGCTGGTAACTATGTAAACTGGTACTATGATGTACTATGTATGAGCAACTATGTATGGCTTGTGAAGTAGCTTGTTCATGCTAATTCTGTCTATTCGAAGCCACAACGCTCTATTTCGCCACATCGGCTCCATTCGGCTCCTGCCTTTCCTCTTGGGACGTCTTCGGAGACAGCACACTGGCACGGCGCAACCACCAGGTTCCAACAATACCAAATGCATCCAAATCTCAATCAAAAGGCGGTTGAAATTCATTTGCATCAAGTCAAGTCAGCGCGTTCTTTCTTTACCCTTGCACAACTGACATTGGTTGAGCTTCGCGAAGGCTTGTGCGGCTTGGAGGTCGAAGGGACGCGCACCGCGCACCTTCACAAAAAAATACTATTAACACATGCACAAGGAAAAAACATGAATAAATAAACAATGTTGTCAGATGTTGTCAAAAATCAGTGAAGAGCTGCCGAACAAGTGCTGCTCTTGACGATCGTGCAGTGCTGGACTGTCGATGTCTTGCCTGGAGCAGAACGTTCACGAGCCGTTCAAGGAAAGACAAGTGCCTGCAAGGCGTCAAAAGTTAGCAGAAGTTAGCCTCTTCTTGGCTGTAAAATTCACAGACCCTGCCTGCTGCGCTTGCAACTCGTCCTTGCCGCTGTCCTTCGCAGAGTGACAGGTGGAGTCAAGCCGAGAGATTTCCTGTCAGTGTTCACGAGCGGAATTGGGTAGAAAATGAAAACAGGTTTTGTGCAGATACATTTCCTAGCCATAGACTCTGTCATGAGCCACGATCAGTCATGGTTTAAAACGCGATGGTTTTCCAATCTTTTCCCTGCACTCCTCACGCACCTCAAGGGAAGCCAGGGCTTGGCTCAGCTCTTGGGCCTTCGGGTGTCGATACAGTTTCGCACATTGCACGGTAGGTGTGCAGATTGTTTGGATGCCGTCTGCCTGCTGCACTCAAGATTCTAAGATTACTGTGCACTCGCTGCACAGATATAGGCTCATCTGGATAGAAATCTTAGGAATGACCCCAATCTCCCCCTTCAGAAGTGTTCCTTGGCCTTCCCACCCTTAGAGTGGGGCTGCTAGCTGCCCCATACCAGACTTCCCCTTTCTTGGGGCCAGCCAGCCTGCTGGCGGGACTCCGCCAAAAGATTCTGCAGCTCGGCCTTGCGGTTGGCTAAGCCTCACAGCTTGGATTCCATTGTACAGAGGTTTTCGACGGCGTCTCGAAGCAGCATGAAACCGCCAACAAATTGCGAATAGTTCACAGAAGAAAAGAATGCATTAGAATGCCGTCTTATGAATATACCCAAGTCTCCGAGTCGCCGCCTCGCATTCGTCTATTCCACGTGCGCCCATTCTTGCTAATTATTGGGGACCATTCTTATCATGGGCCCCACGTTTCTTTCAAATTATTCCTACGAGCTCAGGGTCTCGCAGCTCAACACCATCCAACAATTACCCCTCTCTCATGTTGAAAAGCACCAGTTCAAATGCCCAGAAACTTCCCAACACTTTTGCCTGTAAGAAGTGAGTTTTGCTCGTCCAAGCTCTGGCTGAAGTCATCTAGCTCTTCCAGCATGGCCGCTGCCTGAAAGCTAGACTGTCTGGATGGTTCAAAGAAGGATAGTCCGGGATAGCCAACTAGAGCTTTACTGCCTGCTATACCAGTACCTTGAAAGCAAGACGCCGACCTTTGAACATGTTTGCAGGTTGAACGACTGTGAGCAGCCTGTGTACATTCATGGTGTTTTACTGTCACTTGTCAATGTTCTTGCTTGTGGTAGATGACTGTCCATGTCTGCGGAGACCTTCGATTCAATTCAGGCCTCTCTATCTTCCTGCCAAAGCTGTCGCTCAGGAGCACTCTCTGGGGTCCTTGTGCAGCGTTGGCTAGTCCGCCTCTGGCCAGTCACTACTTAGAAGCCAAATATGCCAAATGTCCTGGGTCTTCTGGGAGGTTGAGAACTACCACGCGGTGCTCGTGGTGGTCTTGGGCCATGGCCCTTGACACCTCAACGAATCTTGGTTGGCCAAACAAAGTCTTGAGCGTCTGTCGACACACCCCTTTACCTATCCTTTACCTCTAAATTAATGCAAATTGCAAGCACATCATTGACATCATCCGCCCTAGAAGAGGTTACCAGGCACGTCAGTCGTGCCTCTGCGCGGGCTCTCTGCCTCCAAGGGCTCCAGCTGGACCCGCCGTGGGGCCGAACCGCTGCGGAAGCGCCGTAGAATCTCTGGAGAGCCCAGCGCGGCACGAGCCTCCAACTTTGACGGGGCCGTTGAAGTCTTATGTCTAACCGAGTCTAACCCAGGACTCCACAAGGTTCAGGAATTGGAACATATATATATATATGCAATCAGAATGTACAAATAATTTTGGAGCAAGAAGCCCGCTCCTTCAAAGAACTGCCAGATTCATCCAGATTCTAGATGTACCTGCCTCTCGCACCACAGTGGACATCGACACAGCGCTGACGAGCACATGGGCCCGGCAATGCGGATACTGAAACCCAGCTGCCCCCAATTAGCCCAATATCCTTTCAATCTTCCAGCTCGATCCAACAAATCTGCACAACTGCTGCAGGCCTTGGCTCCGTTGCAACAAACCTATATACTAAATGCTGAAGACTCTAGACCGCAACTAGTTCTTTCAATGAGCCAACGGCTTCACCAGGCATACACACACCCGCCCTGCAAGTCTCTGCCAGTCTGCCTTCAACTTGGTGACATCAAAACAAATTCTGAAAAAGATTGAAAAGGGAATAAATATCGATAAATAAAGGCTATCAATGATCAATGATGATGGATGCGTTTCGCCCCAGCCGACCAAGTTCGGGCAACGATCCGCACAGGCTGACCTCTGTCCGCTCTGTAGCCTGAGTAGCACGCTGGCCACGTTGCCCTCAAAGTCGATTGGGCAACCCCACCACCACACTCACTCTCTTGGAAGACTAAATATAAATTTGTCATCTAGCTGCTAGCTACCTTCAGAGCCCTCCTTGAACATGACCAACAGGCAGGCAAGTGTTCGGTTCCGTTCAAGGATCCCATCCCTCAGCGTGCAAGCCTAGGCCGGTGGTGGACTGAGCAAAGTATTCACAGTCGGCTTAGTTTCCCCAAAAATCTAGGAACCAAATCATTAGTGCGTGCGCTTTTTCAAGGAAGCAGCCTCCTTAAAGAAGCGTGAGCTATCCTCCTAATTATTGCAAGTAGCTTACTTCTTCCTTAATTAAGTATATATATATATATATATGTGCCTACTTGATTAAGGAGGCAGGGCCACGGCTCAAAAAAAGAACGGTCCCACTCGAGTCCATCCACGACAAGGAGCGAAACGGACGGTCCCATCTCAACGTCACGTCCCAGCTCGCCCGACACCTGCCAAGAGCGGTCATGAAATTGGATTGAATCGGTCCAGTACAGTTCACTGTAGCATCTCTTTCCAAGCTCCAACTGCAAGAACCAGCCTCCTCCGGTGGCTTCTCAACTGGCGCAAAAAGTTACCGAGAAAAGGGCAACAAAGGGTGACTATTATATAGAAGGCCTAGGCCGGGCCTGAACTCCGCAAGAGCTCCAAGTCATTGGGCAGATTGGGAAACAATTGTCGCGCAGCTGGTCCTGGCAACTCCACGAACTCCAAGAAAGCATCAAGACATATCACATCAAAACTCCTGTGATCATTTGCGCTAAACGTGGAATTGAATCCCTCCCACACCTGCGCGCCCTGCTCGCTTGGAGCCCACGCTGCTCTGTGACGCCTCTCAAGAAGCTACAGCTACATCAACCGAGGTGATTCTATTAAGCTCTGGCCTCCTGCATTCCATGCCTGGACACTTGCTTGGCTTGAAGTTCAAGCCAAGAACATTTCCGGCAAAGGTTTGGTAACAAAAATCACAAGTGATTTGAAGCGGCGTCTGGACAGTCTGTGCCGAGGGACTCAGCAAAGAGCTCCCGCAACATTGCACAGAACTAGCCCTGAGGACAGAAAATGCCACTTGAGGGCTAACCAGTGCTAATCAGTTTACTAAAAGTACAGAAATCAAAACAAGAGAGCATAAAAAGAGCAAAACGACGTAAAAAGCTATTCATCCTCTGTCTTGTCGTACGCTGTGCTAACTTCACAACACTCGCATCTCAAATCGTACATTTGAGTGTGTGTGTGTCTCAGGGTCGATGTGGTCTGAGGAGGGTTAAACAATTCCGGTGTTGGCAGAATGTATACTATGTTCACTGCTCTTGGAACCTCAACACAACTTGGTTTCTTCCAGTGTCCTCCTAAGTTCCCGGCAGAATTACTGAATGAGCGAGGCGCGAACTTCAGGGGATTTGCTTGAGCTTCAAAGCGGCGCCAGTCGGCCAGGAAGCAGTGGTGGTTTCAGTGACAAAAGAAGAATAGAACTCTCTCTCTCTCTCTCTAGAAAAAATATAGATAACGGACCGACCGACCAACCACACGCCAGCCAGGCACCATCCATATTCTGAGCGTTAAAGTATTCTTCCATGATCAACATGGTTCATCTTGACTCACTGGGCTGGGGAGTGGCTATCTGGTGTAGAATTCATCATGCATTCTCTGGCAATCAAATTCATGTTCACTATCAGATCGAATCAATAGCCCTGCCCGAACTCTCACCAAACACACTCTTGGGCTCAGGCCAAGATCCAAGTGCCCGGGGCCAATCAACGTTCCATCCTGGATCCTTCTCCTCGTCCTCGCCAAGTGCAACCCGAGCACTGTGTGCATGTGCAGCCGCACAAACCTCAGAGATGTTTGCCAGTGTTCCTGAGGTTGTCGTTGTCTTCTTGAAGCTAGCAACTATACGTATATGAAAGGCTTGAGGGCAAGGAATTGATGCAAATCAAAGACCTCGACATGCTAACACCCCCAGCACCTGGGACAAAGACAGAAGCACCCTCACCACACATCCCTCAGACCAAGCAACGATCAAAGCGCTCAGCAAACCAGCTGGGCACCAATGGCGTCCAAAGTCCAACCAACTTTCATCACCTGTGGAGGTGCTCTCCTCCCACCTGCAAACACTCCATGAGCAAATGAGCAAAAGTTGTGCGTATCGAAAATATTCACGAAGAACCAGTGAAGCGACATGAATGTTCTGTTGGGAAAAAATCGCTCCGTGGTCTCTATCACCCACAACAAAGTGGCCTTTGCAGCAAGGCAAGGGCAATCCAGCATAGTTGAAGGGGCTTGGAAATCAAATTAACAAACTCCAGACGAAAGTAGAAGAACAGGGATCGATGGGTGCAGTTGATGGCGTAAAGGTGATGCTCCACTCATGCAAACATAAGAAATTAAATCAAAAGTCTCGCATGTCAGAGGTCATGGTCCTAAGTCCTAACTCTAACTATACAATAGCGGTGACCTCCAACCTACTAGCGATGGCCTCCAACCTAATTACTAGCGATGGCATCCAACCTCCTAGCGATGGCGTCCAACCTAGTAGCGATGGCCTCCCTAAATTGTGCATCTGCACGGATTTACCCGCTTGATCCCAACTCTGCCTCGAAGCGCTGGTCCGCAGGTCAGGAAACACCGAGCGGATCATAGGCTGGGCCACTCGCTGGCAGAAACCCAAGCCAGAAAGGGAATAGGATGCTAAAGGCCCAGCGGACTCCTTGTAGAGCTGGGGCATCAAGTGGGTGACATTGATCTTTTGCAGGGGATTGGAAGTGCTCGCTCCGCATGCAGGTGTCTGTACTTGAGGCCATAACATATATATATATATTATATATTGTATATAAATATATAAGTTTTTCACTAAGGAGGTGAACCACAGTGAGACCTCCCTAGCAGAATGCCTTCAAGAGGAGGTGCTGGTGGGTACCCTCTTGTTTTAACACCGAGTGCTGCATGGCCCTGGCAACTCCAAATCACTGGCTGCTTGGTTGTGTTTGGCTCTGCCTTGCCGTAAAAATAGAATCCAGTGACCCCTTTGTTGGAGCCTTCCATTTGTCTCCTGTGCGTGCGCCAGTGTGAAGTTCAGTCTGTGCTGGAAGTCAACCCATTGGCCAGAGCACTTGCAGCCCGGAATCTCCTGCAAATCAGTTCTTCAAAACGCTATCCTCCTTTAGGCCAGGGGCCCAACCAACTTGAAAGGGCACAATCATTCAACCTGTTTGCATGAGGAAACCTGTCCACTTTTGCTCTTCTGTAGCGAACCACAGCTGAGGTAAAGTTCCACTGCGGGCGTTTTGTTGTCACACCCAACCTGCAGCGGGACACCCAGGTTCCAGTGTGCAGCTTCCCAACTCCTGAAAGCCATGACAATCGTTGCAAACAAAGGAAGTTTCATGAATACCGAGTAGTCGTGCAATTTTTTTGTAAGGATGTTCGACTTTACTTGTCAATTGTCGGTGCAACAAGTTAAGTTGTTCCTTTCCAGCAGTCTGCCTCGCCTGTCATTTCCCCATCTGCCCAAGACCCACTCATGAGGAAGATCCATCACATGCGATGCATGCGATGCATTAGCTTGAGTTCGCTGATTGTAGGGCGTAGCCATGCTGACTCAAGTCATATAAATCACCTAACAACAAGTTGGTACGGTACAATATAAACAAGTAGAAGAGACTCTCAAAAATGGAGGTTCGTGTCGTGTGCTCAGCCTTTTTGTAAGAACTGTCAAACCTCTCCTTGCCCCCCTTCAAACAAATCTCAGCAACAAAGGCAATTTTTTATCATACCGGCATGATGTCTTGACTCTTTGACACTCCCTTCTTAACAAGTCCTCCTTGGACCTTACAGTGACACACATGTGGCAGCGGAAACGAAATATGTGTCATTTGGGTGTTGCAAGTCAGTAGCCAAACAGCTGCAGAGGCCAGAGGTTGGCTGGCGACTTGGAATTCCAACGTGAAGGGAACACACAGCATTTCACGCGTCAAGCACTGTACCGGCCTTGGAGATTCTAAGAGCGGATGCAAGAACCCAAAAAAACATGACATGTTTCGCATTTTATGTATGTTTATTTCATGTTGGGCCCCTTGTTGCAGTAGATTGGTTGATTGATTGGTTGATTGATTGGTTGATTGATTGGTCGAGTGGCAAGTTGGGACATCAGGTTTCACCACAAACGCAGTTCTCTCCTTTTTCCCTTCCAGTGTTTTGCCATGGAGGGGCTCTCCATTGTTTGGAGACCCATGCCATGTGAGGCTTATTAAAACACGAACTTTAGGGAACAGGACCAAGAAAAAAGGTGCGACTGTAATCACCAAATGATGCCAAGTCATATTTACAACGTCAAGTTGCTTGGAGCTGCCTAGTACACTACCCAGTTTGTTCGGATATTTTGGTCTGTTGCCGATAGTAGTTTGGATTCAAGACGCCATGCTGATATGTTCGCCGAATCTCCTTCTCGAACCCCACATTCGAAGGTCCAAGTTCACTTTCTGATGGAGATGCTCGGCCTGCTGGGCTGCGGTGGCAAGTTCAAGAAAAGTTTTGTGAGTATCAAGACTGGTCCCTTCACAGTTTGTCTTTATTCAAGCACAAAAAACTCATCCCAAAGCAAAGAAGAGGAGTCTCACAGCAGCAGCCGCTTTTTCCTTTTGCTGTGTGTCTGTCTGTGCACTACAGGCCCAACCTGTCACTGTGGATAATGCCTTGATAGAACCTCAGCGTGTCAGTCAAGATTCAACCTGGACAGCTGCTACCCCTGAACTTCACAGCGTAGGCCCATGTTAGGCCCAGCCAAACCGGCACAGTCGAGGAGACCAGGCACTGGATGGAGTGTCATCCGTTTCCACTTCTCCTTGAGAAAAGATGTCAGAATAGAAATGAAGTCTGGGCCTTCGCAGCTCCCCGTTATGCAGGTTTCAGCTGCCAGGCCAACCCTTGATAATTAGCCGTTACCCCAACCCACTCCTCAAAGCACTGATGGAATCTGTCGACCTGCGTTGCAAAGGGGAGGGCAATCGAAGAATCAGCAGTGGAACTGAAAATCGATGAAAGGAGTGAGTACGGCTCCACGGGTCCGCAAAGCACCCTTTCCCAATACAGCGCGGCAAGGCTTCGGAAGAGAATTGCAACAATGAGATACGTAAGCACGCAAGCAACTCACCCTGACTGCACCATCAAACTAGCAACGTTGTCAATGAACCAGACCCCTTTTGCTCCCGCTGAACACGCCTGGCCACGAGACCAAGGCGACCAGAACCATCGACAGCACAAGCTGAGAGAAAGAGGTTCGCCATGGCTTCGTACATCGTCATAGACCACTTCCGCCATATTCTTTGCGCAAAGAAGGACTCGAATCAGCACTTCAAATGGAATCCTGTTACCTGTTGCCTCTGATCCGGCGGTTGCATCTGAGGGTTCGAGCCCTGTGGCCTTCCAAATGATATTAGTTGCCCGCCGGCGCCTGCCTTGTGACATGAGCTGCGCTGCTTCCAAACCCTGGCACATGCCAGACCATGCAGGCCGAATAGCGACCGTATCGTGTTGCGCATCTTTGGTTGCTTGTGGCCAAATCAAGAAGCCATAATGATGCCAACGATAAGATCCTCGATGAACGGCAGCTGGAAGCTGCGGAAGAAGGAGCTTCAATATAGAGCTTACTGCAGAGTACACTGCATATACTCCACCTCCTGGTGAAAGACGCCAGACTTCTTGCTAGCTTCCACTCAGCTGGATATTGGTCGCAAGCTACATCAACCCAAGCGCTCACGAACTCATCAACCTTATACTTATACTCGTCTCTGCCACCAATTGCAATTGGCTCAGCATGCACTGGCATGCTTCATTCTTGCGCTTGACATGTTCATTGTCTGACGATCGATGGCCTAAGTAAGATTGGAGAGACCCGTTCAATGCACGGTCCACTTCTGCGAAATTGGGTCAACTCTCAACAGATCGGGTCAACTCCCAACGAAAAGCGGCAGTTTTGGATCAATGCCTCCTTGAGCAACAATGTCATACGAAGTACCTAGTACTTTTTTAATGTATAACAAATGCAACGCGCAAACCCAAGCCTTCCAAGTCCAATGCGCAAATATGAGTGTGTGCGTGTGTGTATATATATATATATTATATGTATACACGTATAACTTATAACATTCCTTTGCCGGTGACAAAATGCGCAGACTCATCACTAGTGTTCGTTTCCCCAAAGCACCTGAAGCTCGTTGTCTCGGCCGGATCCTGGCAAATCAGTGCCCTGGGTGCGTAGAACTGCTTTCTGAAACTGTAGTTCCGGCAAAATCTAGCAGGACATCTTTGTCCAGTGGAACGGTGTAACTCGGAAGAGCTGACTCTTCGTGGAGATATTTTGATTGATCGGGCGCAGTGCCAAGCGACCTGCTCTTGCAAATCTTTGGGATACAAGAGCAAGAGGGATACACCGACAAAGCACGACGTTTGAAAGGTCCATTAAACATGCCTTTCATGGATACTCAAAAGCGACAGAATGCCCAGACCTCTGGTTCATCAAGTGTGCCTTGGTCACGCATACAAATTGCGAACGTTTGTGGAATTATGACTGTGTCGGCTTGTGCGTCAGCACACAGCCATGCTCACACGAACACTCCGTTAAAAAACAAAAGCGAAATGCAGTCCATGGCCAATGCGAATGGACTACACGTCAGCAGTGCTCAAGTGAAGACAATCCTATTTTCCTGGGAAAACTATTTGATCCCAAATGATACATTCCTCTGCGATAGGGTGGAGAGCGCGATAAATTCGGGTAGTACCAGTAGTACCATACCAGTCAGAAAGGGAGGGGCCAAAATAGTGCTACACTGTAGCGGTTGTACCAAGTTGGATGGCGAACGTCTTGAGTGGAGGGGCGCGGGTGCTGTTGTAGTTGGAGGCCACGGTGGCATGCTTCGGCCAAAGCAATTTCGGGCCAGTGGGTTCGGGGTCTACCAGCTCGAATAGGAGAGGGGAGGCGGCACAAAAAGTGGAAGTGCAGGGCGAAAAACAATTTTATGTTCTACGCAATCGAAATGTCTGAGGATGTGGCCTAGGTACCGGAGTCGCTGGACTGAAATGCGTTGACCAGGGATGAGGAGACGAGGGGCACGCCGGAAGGCAATTGAAAGGAGGTAGTCATTTGAGGCCGGCCAGGGACGGAGAACCCCATGATAATACGAACCTTTAATGCCAAAAATTTGTCGGAGAACCCTGTAGTGAGGGGAGTTGAATTCGACGTTTTGCGCAGGAGTATAGACTTGCGGACTCACACCGGCACAGTAGAATTGCGAGCACTATTTGGGAGTACACATCAAGCCGACGTCTAATCGGGATGGTGGGGTTAGTAAAAACTGGAAAGAGGGAGCTAATCGCGCCAGAAGGTTAGGAGCATCGGGAGTTGCAATCGGCAGACAAAGACGCGTCGCTGGATATACGAGCCCCCAGCTATTTCGCCATATTCAAAACACAGAAAGGGGCGCCAAGTGCTGCGGCGCCAGTCAGTGCAATGTTGGCAAGGACAGGGGTCCACCTCGGGCAAGAGATGTATTTGAAGACTGGTATGAATTTGAAGAAGTTTGCACTCCTCCGGGTTAAGCAAAAGCCCCCGTTTGCATGCCTCATGTTGGAGAGTGCGCAGGAGGCGATGCAAAGTGAGTTGGGTACGAGCAATGAGGATGGTATCGTCTGCATATTCGATATCGGAGAGCGGGGTATGGGTGGAGATGGCGTGAAAATATAACGGAGGGATGCAAAAGTGGTATGGACGTCGTGCATAAGCGCAGACGGAACAAGAATGAAGAGA